CCAAGAAATTTGGAAAACTACCTGGCCAACTGACTGGAAGAGATCCATTATTTGTACCCAATCCAAATAAAGGTGATCCAACAGGATGTAGAAATTATTGAAATATCATTAACATCATGTGGAAGTAAACTCTTGGCTGAAGATAATTCAAAGACGTTTGTAATAGTATATTGACAGAAAACTTCCAGAAATGAAAGTTGGATTCAGAAGAGGACATGGGACAGGGGATATTACTGCTGATATCAGATGGACTTTGGCTGAAAGCAAATAATACCAGAAAGAAAGAATACCACAATAAACTTGTGTTTTATTGACTATGCAAAAGCATTTGGTTGTATAGAGCATAACAATTTATGGAAAACATTGAGAAGAATGGGAATTCCAGAACACTTAATTGTGCTCATGTGGAACCTGTATGTAGACCAGGAAGTTGTAATTCAAAAAGAACAAGGGGATATTGCATGGTTTAAAACCAGAAAAGGAGTGCATCAGGGTGCTAGCTTTTCACCTTACTTATTCAATCTGTATGCTGAACAAATAATCTGAGAAGCTGGACCACATGAAACTAAATATGGTACCAGGATTGGAGGAAGACTCATTAACAACCTGCTATATGCAGATGACACAATTTTGCTTGCTAAAAGTGAGGATGACTTGAAGCACTTACTGATGAAGATTAAAAATCTGCAGCATGGACTACACATCAACATAAAGAAAATGAAAGTCCTCACAACTGGACCAATAAGCAGCATCACGATAAATGGAGAAAAGTTTGAGGCTGTCAAAGATTTCATATTACTCAGATCCAAAATCAACACCAATGGAAGCAGCAGTCAAGAAATTAAACAATGTATTACACTGGGCAAATCTGTGAAAAACCTCTTTAACATGCTAAAGAGCAAAGATGTCTCTTTGAAGACTAACATGCTCCTAACCCAAGCCATGGCATTTTCAATTGCCTCATATGCATGTGCAAGTTGGATAACGAATAAGGAAGACCAAGGAAGAGTTGATGCTTTCAAGTTGTGGTGTTGGCGAAGAATACTGAAAGTACCATGAAATGCCAGAAAAACTAACAAATCTGTCCTGAAAGAACTGTACCCAGAATGTTCTTTGGAAAGGAGGATGGCCAGATTTCATCTCATCCACTTTGGTCATGTTGCCAGAAGGGATCATTCCCTGCAGAAGAATATCATGCTTGGGAAAGTAGAGGGTCAGTAAAAAAAGGGAAGGCCCTCAACAAGATGGACTGACACAGTGGCTGCAACAATAGGTTCAGGCATAGCAAGAACTGTGAGGCTGGCACAGGACTGGGCAGTGTTTCATTCTGTTGTACATAGTGTTGCACTGAGTCAGAGCCAAATTGTCAGCACCTAACAACTAACGACAACAACATTGATCCACAGTAATAGCTTACAATATAATATTTGTTCTTAGAATTTTTAGTGAATTCTGGAAGAGGTAAGTGACTTTAAAGAAGAATACAACTAAAATGTATAGCAATTATGGGGAATATTCCCTCCAGGACAATTTGATAAAGGAAGTTTGGAGTTTACCACTTAAAGGAGGTGAGAATTGTACTGAGTACTCTTAATTAACAACTTTAGTTGGCCAGAATTTGATGTTAGCACTGAGAGATGTGAGAATTGAATTCTGAAACTTGTGAAGAAACTGACTTTGGGAAGAAAGAAAGGAATGATTTACTAGGAGTAATTACAAGAAAGCTAATAGCTCATTCACCAGCCTTCCAGGAAATAAAGCAAATGGAAAATCTAAGCATGAGGTAAGTCTAGAAGAAAATTTTACTTTTTGTTAAAGAAAGCAGCAGAAAAGTCTCATAATGAAAACAATGAAGAGTTTTAAGCTATGGTTATGATATTTTCCACAAGCCTACAGAATAATAAAAAATAACATATTACATAAATTGTCCATTACCTTGACACAGAAGAACTCCAAAAACCCCAAAACTAAATCCACTGTCATAGGATTCTATTCTGACTCATAGTGACCTTTTAGGATAGAGTAGAATTGCCTCATAGGGTTTCTAAGGCAGACTGCCTCATCTTTCTCCCACAGAGCAGCTAGTAAGTTTGAACCACAGATCTTTTGGATAATAGCCAAATGCTTTAACCATTATGCCACCAGAACTCCCTCAGAAGGACACAGGAGAATTTAATTGATGTTTGTTGTTGTTGTTGTTGTTGTTAAGAAGGAAGAAAAGAAAAATACGGCAGGTGATGACAACTCCCCTTAGGGCTTAATTTATAATGCAGGAATGTAATACGAATAATTTTTCTCAAAAAAAAAAATTCTGTGAAACTTCTCTCTCCCTTCTCATCTTAGTTATCACCTTGAAATCTCTCTTTGATCTACTCTATGGGTCACAACTACTGAATGGGTCACAGGATGAGGATAGTATTCTTTTTGCTCAGTATCAGTATATTTTAAGGCCACTGCTCACCCACAGTTATTTAACACACTCTACTTTGTAATTTGTGTAAACCTGTAACATAAAGTTATCCTCTTCTAACAACAGGATAGCATCTACCAGGTCACTTAATCTTTTCCTCTCCAGTCACAGTGTTATCCTGAGTAATTTCAACATCCATGTTTAGGTTCTGGACATTATCATAGTCTCAAAGTTCCTCAAGCTTCTCTATTCCATCAACATTCCCCTATACTACACGTCAGCAATTCACTCTTTATTAAATAACTCTTTACATAGCATCCTAATTTTCAGCCCTTCCTACTTTTATATTAAACTTGTTTTTCACTCTTATAAAAATCTAGTTTAACTGGATCTCACCTACTCTAATATCTTCCATGTCTTTCTCTATCTCTCCCAACTTCTCTACCTCACCAGAACAACATGCTTAAATCTGATGCATCAAAAAGATGACTCTTCCCCAAAAACCTATTCATCTTTCATCCCTCCTTCCCTCTTAAAAGACAATGAATGCCAAAAATAGTGTTAATTCTCATCATCTAGTCCATACTCATCATCTCCATCTCTTCATTCTCCACTTACTCTTTTAATCCAGCTGCTAAAAAGGCAAGGAAGCCACATCTTCTGACCTCCTCTAACCCCACAAAAGGAAGGCAGAATCACCATCAATAGCCCAAAGCCTATTCCTGGGAGGCCAGACATGCTGCCTCCCTCCAGCCATTTCACCAACTCTGACACCAACTGTCAGGGTTTGATAATTCACTGCAATGGCCTCACAGAACTCACAGATTATGGGGTTTATTAAGGAAGCACCAGGCTATTATTCAAGTTCAGGAAAAATGCTCAGTCCCTCTCAGCCCGCTGTCTCTCACCCAACAGTCTCTCACAGTCTCTCTCCCAGCAGTGCACATCCCTTGGTGTCTCTCTCAGCAATGCATGTCTCTTGTGTCTCTTTCCCAGCAGCACATGTCTCTCAGGACAGTGTGTCTCTCAGGAGCGTGTCTCTTCTCAGCAGCACATCCCTCTCAGCCACCAGTCAGAGAGAGACTTCTCCCTCTAGGAGGCCTCCTTTTGAGCCTGGCAGAGTGGCTAAACTAACCAGTCATTACATCAGAATTCTAAGCACCTGAGAGAGAGCAAGAACCTCCCAGAACATTGCTTTGTGCCACTCCCAACAGAAATACCCCAGGTGGACAACTTTAGCAATCAGGAGCTCCTCAGTTGCTCATGGCAAATTCCACCTGGAGTTTACAAAGACTTATGGGTAGAAAAGCCACAGTAAGTAATTTACTACACTGCACCAGCACAATGTGAGTTTCTAAATCTAATCTTGAAGATATCCATTCTTTATGCCAATTTTAATTATCCAATTCAATTGTCTCTTATTAGGTCTAATTCTAACTGTGTTCTCTTAAGAATGGGCATAATCAAAAACAAACAAACAAACAAACAAAAAAAAAAACTCACTGCCATGAAGTCAATTTCGACTCACAGCGACCCCCTTTGGGTTTCTGAGATGGTAAATCTTAATGCAAGTAGACTGCCCAGTCTTCCTTTCACAGAGTGGCTGGTAGGTTTGAACTATCATCCTTCTGGTTAGCAGTCAAATGCTTTAGGCACTGTGCCACCAGAGCTCCTTGGACATAATTAAGGACTCCTTTATTCTTACAACTCTCTTTTTCTAGATTTATTTACTAGTTCTTCCCTAATCACTTTTGTTCATTCTCCTCCCTCAAAAATCAATTCAATGGAGAAAGGGCAGCTTTTTCAACAAATTGTGCTAAAGTAATCAGACATTCACTGACAAATAATGAACCTGTACCTAAACCTCATACTTTATTCAAAGATTAAATCAAACTGGATCAATATGTAAAATTTTACATGATATCACTTTTAGGAACAAAAAAGTAGGAGAAAATCTTTCACTTCTAGGATCAGACAAAGAGTTCTGACACCAAACCTAAGAGGTATAAAAATAAAAACTGATACTAGGTAACACCACATTTAAAGTATTTTTTTCTCCAAAAGACCCTGTTAAAAAGATGAAAAGGCAAGCTATAGACTGAGAGAAAATATTTGCAAACAACATACCTGAAAAAGGACTAGTATCTAGAATACATAAAGAAAACTCAGTAGAGAAACTTCCCTAAGTAGAAGTGAGTCCTATGAAACTGTTAAAATAAAAGATATTTAAGAGGGAAGTGTGGTGGGGGCTAGTACATTCCCCATAAGATAAAATACAGTTAGTTACAAGGCACTATCTGAATCACATACAGTACTTTACCTTTATGCAGGAGATTAAGATAACATAAATCAGCTTTCATGACTATATATGAAATTGGTCAATAAATATTTTACATCTCCTCAATAAAAGAATATTAGCTTATCAAAGTCATTTTCTAGAATACACTGATTTTGATCTTATTTTTAAATGCACATAGTTATATACGATTACACACTGAACTGTTTAATTATCTTATACATATGTATCATAAAATAAATATATAAGCCTGGGATAATAATTTCTAAATGTTAAAGAAGGTACATAAATTACCTGCACACAGAACACTGCCGCTGAGGCTGAAGAGCAGTGAACATAACAATCATAGAATAGTTTCGAGGTGGTGCTTTTATAAATTTCCGGAATTTATCACCATTCATTCGGAAGATTGAGCGCCTGGAACTCCATTCCATCAGCTGTTCTACTTTTTCAGCTAAAAGATTCTGAAATTAAACAGAGTTAAAATCTTTTAGCTTGTGTTTCATATAAATAGAATTGCATAATATTATATTTTATCCAAAATTAATTTCTGTTAAAAGTCCACTGTGATGAATATATTCGTTGTTGTCACTAATAAGTACATAAAACATTTCATTGTTAAGTGAGTGACCAAATATGCATTAAAAAATAATCATTTTTTCCTTATAATTTCCAAGGGTTATAAAATAGACATTAGAATTATAATCATTATTTTCAATTCCAGAAAGATGGAATACATGTCCATTTCCCCAGTCTTCCCACTAAGTAAAAAACAAACCCATTGATATCAAGTCAATTCCACTTCACAATGACCCTATAGGACTGAGCAGAACTGCCACATAGAGTTTCCAAGGCTGTATCTTTAAAGAAACAGACTGCCACATCTTTCTCCTGCAGAGTGGCTGGTGGGTTCAAACTGCTGATATTTTGGTTAGCATCCAAGCAATTAACCTCTGAAATTCTGGTTGTTAATATTTTTTTTTTTTTTTTAAAGTGTAGTAATACTGAAAGATGGAGGAAAAGAGGCAAATTTGCTAGAGACTGTGGGAACTAAGAAATGATATGGCAACAAGTTCCTTGGGTTTTCTTTTTGCCAAGTATTTCCCAGACTGTTTGCTGGAGAAGCTGGAAATCCAGGAACACTAACGCAAGCAAAGAGTAAAGCCTGTTCTTTCTACCCGCAGTGTGAGGAAATGGGCAGCAAAGCAAGATTTGGGGGTGGGGTGGGGGTGGAGACTTTTACACAGTAACTGCTCTACTCTACTCAAACATCACAGAAAAAATCACAGCCCTACCACCAAACTCACAAGCAAAGGCTGCATGAGGAGCTTTAACTTCTCTCACCCCTAAATGGGGAGCCAGGACCTTCACCCCCACCACCAGCAGAGACCAAAGATGAAGCTTGGATTTCCACGTTCTCCCACCAACAATAATGAGGCAATACCTCTTCTCCTCACTAGGATGTTGTTGGACAAAAGCCATTGGAGAGTCATGACTCTCACTATCTAGCAGAAAGGAGACCATCCTTTTCATCTTTCCATGTCAGTGGAAGCCACAAGGGAAGCAGTAAGGAGACAACTCTGCCTATAGAGGCTAGGGTTATATTAGATAGAAAATAGTGGGCTGCTGAAGTCCCTGAGTAATACAAATGGTTAACACATTCATCTGTTATCCAAAAAGGTGGAAATTCTAATCCACTCAAAAGGTAACTCAGAAGAAATGCCTGGTAATCTACTTCCAGAAAACATCCTATGGAACACAGTTTTACTCTGACACACATGGGACCATAGGAGTCAGAACACACTTGATGGCAACTGGCAATGGGGCCTAAGAATTTCCACTGCTACCCAGACGTAATGAGGACCCCCTCTCCACTAGATGTCAACAAAAGCCAAATGGAGAACCAGGACTTCCACCTCCACCTGGCAGTAATAAGACTGCCCCTCTTCCCCTGTAGCAGAGAAACCCTCTTAAAACAAAAGTTTAAATGAGATCCAGAGTCTCATAAGACAGTACTCAAAATACATCACTAACCATATGAAGAACCAGGAAAATCTCAAATTGAATGGAAAAATGGGAAAAGACAATCAACAATACCAAGATGAAACAAACCAAATAATAATAATAATAATAATAAAATAGTAACCTATAGCTTTCAAGTTGATTCTGGACCATAGTGGATCTACAGCACAGAGTAAAACTTCCCCCATAAGGTTTCCAAGGCTATAAATCTTTACAGAAGGAGAATGTCACACCTTTCTGCCATGGAGCAGCTGGTAGGTTTGAACTGCCAACCTTTTTGTTAGCAACTAGGTGCTTTAACCATTGCATCACCATTAGAATTATCTGACAAAGATTTTTAAGTAAAACAATAACCTATGGGACTTGTGTAAATCTGTACACATGCACACAGTCTACTTTCTGTCTCCATCAGGAAGAACAATACAGTTATGGAACAAGATCAAGGTCAAGGATCTTACAGGGATATGAAGTTGATCAAGTAGAACTTCTGGTTTCTCACACAGTGGGAAAAATATTTACAATACTTAATCTTACTAAATAGTTGTATTCAAGCCTTTGTATTGTATTCAAACATCTATAAATTAATAAATCAGAAAAATCAAAATAAAAAAGACATGAACAGGCATTTTACAAGAATGTAAACCCAAGGCAAATGAATAAATGAAAAGGTGCTGATCTTCATTAGCTATCAGAAAAATGCAGAGTTAAACTATAAAAGCCATTGTTGTTAAGTCGATTCTGACTCATAATGACCCTAAAGGACAGAGTGGATCTACCTCATAGGGTTTCCAAGACTGTAATCTTTACAGAAGCAGATTGACACATCTTCTTTCACAGAGTGTCTGGTGGGTTTAAACTGTCAACATTTTGATTATCAGCCTAGTACTTAACCACTGTGCTACTAGGGCTCCTTAAAAGTTAAACTATACTGCACCTGTGGTAGTTATGTTAGTGTGTCAACTTGGCTGGGCCTCCTTGAGTGGCTGGGCAGCTAGTGGTAGTTATTCCCCATGATGAGACTAGCAATCAACTCCATAGTGGGATCTACCACAAGCAGTTGAGTAGCTGCCTTTGGGATGTGGTCTGCTTCCTGTATATAAGGAGAAGCTTTGAGAACAGTCTCTAGCCTATGTCATACTTGGATCCTGCATATTGTGATGTCATTGCTCAGCAGCCTGCTATGCTCTGCTGACCTTGAGACTTACAATGAACTTAAGTTAATGGCCTGCCATGTGGTTTGGTAACATCAGGACTGTGCCTTTTTATTTGTCAACCTTGGGGCTTCTCAGCCTCAGCAGCCAGTAGCTGTCTGAGTGAAGAAAGGGCTCTAGCTCCAGTGGGCCAGGAGCAGAAGGCAAAGCTGGACCCCAAGATTGAGCTTTCACCCAGCCCCTAGAGGTTGTCACTTTGAACTTGGACTTAAAGCCTCCAAATTGTAAGAATAAACTCCTGTTTGTTAAGGCCATCCCATTTGTGGTATATTTCTATCAGAGCAGCACTAGGTAACCAAAACAGAAATTAGTATCAAGAGGGTGGGTGCTTCTCTGACAGATACCTAAAATGTGGAAACAGGAGTGGAGTGCATCCTTGACTAAACATGGGCAGAGAGACCCTAGCATAAGGAGGCTTAACTAAGTCAGCTGCTGGCTGATAGGGCTGAATAACCCAAGATCAACAAACAAAATGGCACAGTCCCAAGATTATTAAACAACACAGCAGGTCACTAGTTCAAGTCCAGTAACAGTCCCAAGACTGGCAGGCAACATGGCAGGCTGCTGAATGAAGACTCGGTTACAAGCAGGGTCCAAGAATGCCAGAAGTTCTAGGCTTTTCACAAAGCTGCTTCTTATATACTGGAAGCAGACAACATCCCTAAGGCAGCTACTAAGCTGCTCACAGTAGATGCTACCATGGAGATGATTTCCAGTCTCATCATGGAGAATAACTACTTCTAGCTGCCCAGCCACTTAAAACCAGGCCCAGCCAAATTGATACATAACCTTAACTACGTACTCATATTATGGATGAAGATTAAAGACCTACAGTCTGCAGTAGTGATTACACGTGACATGGGGGAAAAAAAAAAAGTCCTCACAACTGGACCAACAAACAGTATCACAATAAAGGAGAAAATATTGAAGTTGTCAAAGATTTCATTTTACTTGGATCCATAAACAACACTCAGGGAAGCAGGAGTCAACAAATAAGACTTGTTATTGCACTGGGAAAATCTGCTGCAAAAGACCTTTTTAAAGTGTTGAAAAGCAAATATGTCACTTTGAAGACTAAGGTACCCCTAACCCAAACCATGGTATTTCCAGTACCTTCATATGCATGTGAAAGCTGGACAATGAATAAGAAAGAGCAAAGAAGAGTTGACGCCTTTGAACTGTGGTGTTGGTGAAGAATACTGAAAATAACATGGACTGCCAGAAGAACGAACAAATCTGTCCTGGGGAAGTGCAACCAGAATGGTCTTTGGAAACGAGAATGGCCTGACTTTGTCTCACCTACTCTGGTCATGTTGTCAGAAGGGACCATTCCATGGAGAAGGATATCATGCTTGCTAAAGTGGAAGGTCAGCAAACAAGGGGAAGACCTTCAACAAGATGGACTGACACAGTGGCTCAATGAAGGGCTCAAGTATAGCAAGGATGGCGCAGGACCAGGCAGTGTTTTGTTCTGTTATACACAGGGTTGGTATGAGTTGTAGTCAACTTGATGGCACCTAACAATTCATATGATGGAATACTATATAGCCATAAGAATGAATAAACTACATTTACATATAGCAACATTGAGGAACATCACAAATATAATGCTGAGTGCAAGAAACTACATAGAAAATCATGACATATGATTCTGTTTACATAAATAAAGATCAGAAACAGGAACAAGTGAAGCTACTGTGCTAAAAGCAAGGATAACGGTTACTCTGCAGCAGACAAAAGGATGGCTAAGAGGCATAATGACCATGATACAATACATGTGGGCTGGAGTGCTAGTAATATTCTTTTTCTGGCTTGGAGTAGGGAAGGTAATATTCTAGCTTCTGTATAGATTTATCTTACTCTTTGGACCATCCATTTCATCTGACAAAGTTTTAGAAGTATCAACTCTATAAAGATGTATTCCCACAGCAAAGAAACCTCTGCCTATGCAAAACCAGGCAAGCATCAGTGTGGTCAGGACAGAGATACCTCAACTGTGCCACTTAAACAACCTCTACTCTACAATTTAGGGAGAAATGTAATCTCACTTGTTTCCAACCTCGAATTAAAAATTGAGAATGGCTCCCAATGAATCAGTCACAGAGCATAAGCATGTCTAGAAGAAGGTGAGAGGAAGGCAGTCATCTTACCCTGCATTAGAGTAAAAGATTTGAAGTGTTTTAAACACTGACCTGAGTCAAAGAAAAAGGCAAAAGAAAAGAGATGGAAGT